CAATCACAAATTTACTCAAAAACCAAATGAAACTTTTTAGTTCCATATTTCCTTTCTATATAATCTATCCACCTTCTCCAAACCATTATATATCTTTCTTGTGAATAATCCCTCACATAAGCTGAAATCTTAGCCATTTCTGCCATAACTGCTGCGAGGTTATTAATAGCTCAATGTTGGGCATTTAAAGTTTCAAATTTAGCAGAAATGGATAAGATGCTTGATAGATATTTAGATTTTTAAAAAATTGCTTTGTATAGCTTAAATGTTGAAGGTGGATAGATTATATTTAGAGAAAGTATGGAATGAATAAATATCATGTAGTTTTTGAGTAGATAGATTGTTTTTACTTATTGTTTTATTAGAGTTAAAGTATGTAAATATTGATTGTATTATGCTTGTTTAGTTAAATTGTAATTTTAATCCTGTATTTGGTTCCGGGAAGTCCAGGGAGGGAAGGGGATTAGGGGACAGAAATTATAAAAATTGATGTATTTATATGTTATAGGTAAATAATGGAATTGTATTGAAAAGAGGAGATGCTCGGCTGGTACCCCAAGCTGCACTCGATGAGGTGGCTAAGAAGGGAGAGGGGATGTAGGTAGGTGGAAAGGAGGAAGGAGGAGAGGTTGTGGGTCTAGGGGGAGGAAGGACAGGAAAGTGAATGAGGGTGGAGGCAAGGCGGGGACTGCCGAGCGTCTCCGAAAATGTATTGACTTGGATTATCCTTTTTCTGCTTGTGTATGTAAATGCATCATATTGATATTTGTTGTTTATAAAAATCAATAAAATTTTTATAAAAAAAAAAAAAAAAGAGCTGCAGACCCGAGCGAGGAAATTTGCAGGGTTCAACAAAGTCAAACTAGTTGAGTAGGACCCCGGCCGTCTGATCCCTGCTCTTTTCTCACTTGTGCAGTACAAACACACGTCACACACACGTGTTTCTTCTCTGCTGGACCAATGCCCTTCTTTGTGGTTGCTCTCTCCCAGATGTTCTGCAGGAAATACAAGCCAGGCTGCCACCTCGCCTCCTTTCACCGCTCTGCAGAATCACTTGAGATTGCTGACTACATCTCTGACTATCACAAACATCAGGCCGAAGTTTGGATCGGACTGTGGGATAAGAAGAAAGTAAGTCCTTTCTATGGCTGGTGTTCATCAATCCCTTTTCCCCATTTCTAAGGGGCTTTTTGAAGGATCGTCCAATGGGAGGTAGAGAGCATTCTGATAAAAATTCTGCCTTGGACAAAAACTTCTGAAAAATGTCATTTATTCCAAGGTTGTCTCTCCTTCCCCTCACCAGCCATTCAGGCCCAGTGGAAGAACCGACTGCCGTGTTTCAAGCCCCAAAGGGTCAGATCCCGCACTGACCCCCATCTTAGGCTCCTCCTTCAGTCTGCCTTCCTCTTTTTTGGCCCACTGAATGACCTCTAAACCTTCTTGAGACTCTGATGGGCCAGTTTCAATTCCTGAAACATTCTTTTTTTTTTTTAATTGAAAGTTTTATAAAATTTTACAATATAAATCCCCCCCTCCCCCCAAACCCAACCCTCCATCCCTCCCCCCCCTCACTTCCCAGAGCCAATCCCAGGATTAACAATAAAATAATCATAATCTAACTAACATTAATCAGCTATTAATCTAACAAATCTATAACTTCCTTTAACTCTCTTTTAAAACAAATATACAATTATTAAATGCCATAATATTAACATAATTTTAAATATCAAAAATCAAAAGTTCATTCAAAAACCAGATGATATTTTTTGGTTCCATATTTCAACTCAATATAATCAATCCATCTTCTCCAAACCAATATATATCTTTCTTGTGAATAATCCTTCACATAAGCGGAAATCTTGGCCATTTCAGCTAAATTTGAGACTTTAACTACCCAATCTTCTATCGTAGGTAAACCTTTCATTTTCCAATGTTTTTTCATGTTCCAATTCCTGAAACATTCTTGATCGGCTCAGCTCCTGGTGACTTCCTGAATAGAAATATTATTTTTCTGGCAGTAACACAGAAGTAGGTTCCATCCACCACCACAAGCCCTCCCACACAGGCAGGCAGACATACAGTTGTCCAGGGTGTTTTCCATTTTCTAAGTGTCACGGATAGCCCTGGGGTTTTGCTGGTGGTCTCCCACCCAAGGACTCCTTGACTTTGACCCTATTTGTCTCTCTGAGGTCAGCCATTATCTTCCAGGGCTGCCACCACGTTGAGCATGAGGCAAAGTGGCTCTCAAGCTGAGCTGGTGACTTCACAAACACCTCCAGGTNGGGGGGGGGATCTGGGAAGCCAAACAGTGCTAGCCCAACGAGTGAGATGCGCCAATCTGGCCCCCAGGCCATCTACAGCAGTGTTTCTCAACCTTGACAATTTTAAGGCACGTGGACTTCAACTCCCAGAATTCCACAGCCAGCGTTGCTGGCTGTGGAATTCTGGGAGTTGAAGTCCACATGCCTTAAAATTGTCAAGGTTGAGAAACACTGATCTACAGTAAAAGAATGCGGAGACGAAGCAGGCGCCCACACAGGGGGTCCTTTACCCAAACCACCAGAAATGTTCAATGGGTCAAAGACCGATAACGAGGGACGTTGCGCAATCTGCGCTTATCTTTGCCCTTTTCCTTAATTTTTACTTTCATAGCAAGTGTATCATTAATCTTCTGATTCTCAGGAACAGCAACGGGTTGCCCAATCAACTAAGGGAATTGGCAGCGTTTCAACCACCAACTAAATTAGCAAAATAACAGATACGGTTAACTCAAAGCAAGACGGGGGGTGGGGGAGGCTTCTGGAATATCGCAGTTCCCCCCTCCCAGAGTGAAGCCAGTTGCCACCCTTCATCACTGGGGGCATTCAAGAAGAGAGTGGATTGACATCTGTCCGAAATGGTGTAGGTAGGGTCTCCTGCTTGGGCAGGGGGGTTAGACTAGATGACCTGCAAGGTCCCTTCCAACTCTGTTCTATTCTATTCTATTCTCCTGACCTTCTGTAAGGGCCCCAAAGCCTGGCTTGACCACTTGGCTTGGGGCTCCAATGGAGGCTTTTCACAATGGGGAGGGTTGATAATGCCAGACACCCCCCCCTCACCCCTTCACATCCTATTCTTTCCCTCCCCATCTTTTAGCTGTCATATTTTGGATTTTTATAGTTTTGTGGTATTCTATTTATATAATTTTTAAAAAATACTTTAAGCTGCCCACTGCAAAAGAGGCAGCTCAATTCTTTTTGGTCTATAGAGGAACGGTTTCAAGACCTTTGTCTGGCGGGGGCAGTTCATTAACCTTCCAGTTCTAGAAGGCACGGTTCCACCTTTTGAAGGTCCAGTCCAGTCGGACACCTGCCCACAACTCTGCCAAAAATGGTCAGGCTGAGAAAGCAAACCAGCAAACGAGATGCTGCTGTGAGTTTTGAGTTTCCAAGGACACCCAGCAACCAAATGCAGCAAATGGTTTTTGTTCTCTTGGGTTCCTGTACCATTCCAGGTAGTTGTGTTGGAAGAAAGATCTTCATCATGGTTCATCCAAGCTGGGAATAAACATGGCAACTGCTTTGGAAAGAAGGTTGTCATTTATTGGAGAGGAGAGCCAGACAGGAAGATGGTGTCTGAAGTGAAAAAAAAGGGACTGAGCACATGAAGGGAGTGGGTTTTTATACCCTCTGGAGCCTTTTGTTTGGAGTTGTTCCTGTGGCATGAACTTTGACCTGAGTCTGAGTGTGCCTGAGTGTGTTCTAGTATTCTGAATGTGATGGGTCAATCTTATTAGGTCCAAAGGTCATCTCCTGCTTCCCTGGGGCTGATGACTCTTAGAGTTTGGGTGGGGTATGTAGATTTTATGTCTTTCTCCTCTTAATCTCCTAGCTCCCTGGATTTACATCTGCATCTCTATAAAGCTGGTTTCTGCTTGTGGGAGGGAGACCTGGGGGCTATTAAGAAAAACTGGGCATGCTTTCCTGCGTTTTTAAGATCCTTTGAGGAAATATATTTTTCTGCCCTTTTAATATTTCCTTCTCTGGGGGGGGGGGCTGACTTCCCACAGTTGGATGTACCTCGTCTTGATATAGGTAGTCCTTTATATGACTATCATAGCGGGCAATATTTTGATATTTACTCTGATTCAGTTCTCTTTGCAGTCCTAGGTACTTCCTGATCCTCTTGCTTTGCCTGTCTAAGAAACCTGGTTTATTAGACCCTCTAAGAAGCTTGATGCCTGGGGCCTTTTAAGATCCTTGGGGAGATTAATGCTGTGGCTTTTCCTTTGCATTTCCCACCTTCCATGATGGGCCCACCCAGTTCTTCATCGTTCATTACTGGTCCGAGATGCCCCTTCTAGCCCTTTAGACCAGTGGTTCTCAACCTTTTTAATGCCGCGACCCCAACCGGTCGTAAGTCGAGGACTAAACCGGTCATAAGTCGAGGACTAAACCGGTCATAAGTCGAGGACTACCCAACCGGTCGTAAGTCGAGGACTTTCCCTGCCCGGGAGCGCCACGCATGCATGCTTCCACCCCCTGCGCCGGCCGAGGCATAGCTGGCAAGCGGCAGAGATGGAGCAGGCCGACCACCAGCTGGCCCAGCCCAAGGGAGGTAAGGCACCCGCCGGAAAAGGGGAAAAAAATGGCAGACAAAAAAAATGGCGGACAGCCTTGCTTGGCGACCCCCATGAAATGGTCGATCGACCCCAAATGGGGTCCCGACCCACAGGTTGAGAACCACTGCTTTAGACTCACAGGACCCACAAGACATCAAACAGTCCCCTTGGCTCTATAAAGAAAAACGGGGCTGGTCACGCCAAGACTTGAGTTTATTTGACCTTCTTCTGGCCCATCACAATGAGCAAAATCCGACCCAAGCTACAGAAATCAACCGTGACAAGCGAAGGGCTGCAGAGCAGAGATTTCGGCAGACAGGTGGGCTCCGTTGCTTCTTCACCAGGTGCTTCTGTCCCTCTGGAGCAGGAGGAGGAGGAGGAGGAGGAGGAGCCGTTTGCCCTAGAATCTGCACTCGCAGAGGAACGAACGTGAGGATGCACAATTCTCATCGTTCCACTTCGTGTAACCTGGGCAGAAAAAGAAGGGAGAAAAAAAAAATGGCAGGGACTCCCTCAGAGTTCCAGGGAAGCATTTTCACGTCTCCTCCCTCGTTTGCAGGAGGACGTGAAGGTAGCCCAGGTGAAGAACCTCATTTGCTAAAACGGGGCCGGGGGTTCAGCAGATCGTTGTAACCCAAATAACGTAGCTAGCCAACCAATCAGGGCACGGCAACCAGGCTTTGCATGCAAAGTTCTGCTCAGCTTCAAGAGGGCATACAAAGGACCTGAGATTTTGGTCCATCTCTTTTGCAGGTCAAAGCTGGGTGGACCATTGATTTCAACCTTGGCTCTTTTATGACTCGTGGACTTCAACTCCCAGAATTCCTGAGCCGGCTCAGGGATTCTGGGAGTTGAAGTCCACGAGTCATAAAAGAGCGAAGGTTGGCTACCCCTGGTCACGACTGTTATCTTGACCCTTTTTTGTCGTGTGCTATGGACATTCCTAGGTAATGGTTGTGGGAACCGGTATTCTGGCTTGCACAGAGGCCCCCCAGTTAGACATCTTAGCTTGCACAGAACAGCACAGGTGTGCTATGCTTTCACTTGTGGTTCCCTGGCCAAATTGTATCGAGGCTGGCTGGGACTGTCCTGACTCTCAGCCTGGGACTCTGCTGGTAGCATGGACGCAACTGAGGTTGGTAACCTCACCTACAAATTTAGATATTTCTGCAGAGGGCAAGATCAACATAACATCTGGAATATTTAACTTAGCCGACTTTTTTTTGTGTGTGTGAAAGTAGCCACAACGTGTCGCCTTAGTTTCAAAACTATCTGCTGGGTGAAAGGTTGGATCAAATCCACTGTAAACTGCTGCGATCAAAAACCAAGGAAGGAGATTGTGATGGAAACGTCTGCCTTGGTCCTGGCCCCCTGGCATCAAGACTTAATAAATATATTATGGGGTTTGTGATGTTGTTGGCTTTCCATCAGGTTAACAAGGGCTGGGTGATGCTGGGGGGCTTCTGAGGTCAGGAGGAATTATTTCTTCCTTAGGTCCCCCATGCCTTCTCCAGAGGTCAGACCAGTTTTCAGGAAAATGTTTATTCTTTGCTCTATTAAAGATAGAATAAAGAATATTCTATTTATTCTATTAATTCTTTGTTTTAGGGCTGTGATTGTGTTTGATTTTTAATTAACTTAGGCAGGTGTTAATTTTTCCTCTTGTACGTGGTTGCCAAAGAGTAAATGTCCCAAGATGGATCAAATGGATCCTCATTGTTGGAAGCACATCCTCAGCGCCCTCCCCTCCCCCTTGGCTTACCTGACCGGTTCCAAAGTTCAACGCAGTATTCATTGTTCCTAAGGTTGTTGGGCTCTCCTGGATTCCAGGTGACGTAGCTGGTTCTGGATCTGTCTGTCCATTGCCAGATACGTTGCTGTAATGACAGGGAAGCCACATTAACCAACTGAGGAAGGGACTCTGGCTCTGCAGGACCCCGGTAGAGAGAGAGAACATGGGCATGGACTGGGCCAATTTTCTCTCTCTTTCTTTACCTATCCATCCATCCACCATCTATCATCTATTTATCCATCCATCCATCATCCATCATCCATCATCCATCATCCATCTTCCATCTATCCATCCATCCACCCACCCACCCACCCACCCATCCATCCATCCATCCATCTATCCATCCATCCATCCATCACCCATCTATCATCCATTTATCCATCCATCATCCATCATCCATCATCCATCTTCCATCTATCCATCCACCCACCCACCCATCCATCCATCCATCCATCCATCCATCCATCCATCACCCATCTATCCATCCATCCATTCATCCATCCATCATCTGTTCATCCATCCATCCATCATCTATCATCCATCCATCCACCCATCCATCCACCCATCCATCATCTATCTATCTGTCTGTCTGTCTGTCTGTCTGTCTGTCTGTCTGTCTGTCTGTCTGTCTATTTATCTATCTATCTAGTCAATCTCAGTTGATCCAAAGGAGCTAAGTAAGATTGAACTTAGGTGATGATCAAGAGATCCAGAGAAAAAACTTCCCAGAAGTTTTTAATGAGTCCTTGTGTGGGAAACCAACAGCAAAACTCCAGGGCTAAAGGTGACACTTGAAAACTGAAATGAAGATCCTACGACTAGATTGTATAAATAGAAGCATAGAATCAAAATCAGATGAAGTATTAGTAATTCATAAAGCCTTAGCAAGGCCACACCTGGAATTCTGCATCCAGTTTTGGTCACCACATTACAAAAAAGATGTTGAGACTTTGGGAAAAGTGCAGAGAAGGGCAACTAAGACAATTAAAGGCCTGGAGACTAAAATATATAAAGAACGGTTGCAGGATTTGGGTGTGATTAGTTTAGAGAAAAGAAGGACGGGGGAGACATGATAGCAGTCTTCCAATATTTGAGGGGCTGCCACAAAGAAGGGGGGTTCAAGCTATTCTTCAAAGCACCAACAAGCAACACAAGAAAGAATGGAAGGAAACTAATCAAGGAGAGGAGCAACCAGGAATTAAGGAGAAACTTCTTAACAGTGAGGATAACTAATCAATGGAGCAGCTTTCCATCAGAAGTTGTGGGTGCTTCATCAATGGAGGCTTTTAAGAAGAGACTGGACAGCAAGGGGTTGGACTAGAAGACCTCCAAGATCCCTTCCAGCTCTATTCTATTCTGATTCCTGTTGGCGGATCCTTCAAACAAAAAAAAAAACTCCTTAGAAAAAGTACAAATGAATTGATGAACATCAGCAACAGGAAGGAACTTACTTTCTTTGGATCATTCAGTCCAATCCAGACATTGCTGCCACTCTTGAGATAGTCGGAGACGTACTCGGCCACATCCGCTGAGTCTTCAATGCTATGGAGGGAGGCCAGGTGACAGCCTGGCTTCTGCTTCCTGCAGAACATCTGG